GAGAAAAAAAAACAGAGCAAGAAGTTTACGTCAGAGTGGAAAAGCCACCGTACCTCACTGAAAAAAGCTTACACTGGACTAAAAGCTACTCTTGCTTAATAAATCTCCATAAAACATTGATGTGAGATGGAAAAGCAAGAGAATGGATAGAAGATGCTTTTGGGCTGCATTACACAAAGATGTACAATACTCCTACCTCCACAGCTAAACATATGTGATTTCGACACAATATTACAATTGTCTGCACAGACAGAGAGTCTACAATGAACAATTCATAGGCTTAAATTTTCAGTGCTAGATACAGACCCACACCACTCCCTGTACAGCTCCTGGGCAACGCAGACTAACACTCAGCTTCTTATTTTCGCTCAGAAGATGGGTAAAACCACCATCAGAGGTTGTTCAAAATTCTGTGCATCAAATTCCTGTTCCACTTCCCTGGGGTGAATCCAGGCTAAATAAAAATAAAAATACCTCAGTGGGATTACTCTGGCAAGGTGGCACAATTTTGCCCTGCTTACTAGACATCGTTGCACAGGGATAGTTGCACTAATATTGTAAGTCTGCTGGTATTTATCTTCTGTCAGAATTTCAACCATGCACGTCCCTGCAGTCAGGAACGTAGATGTGCCTGAGAGAACCCATGCGTGGCAATGTACCATTGCATCAAAGAAGAGTGCGGCGATATTTTGCAATGCTTTACACACAGGCGTGGCACCCTGCACAGCAATGGTGTCATGGTTTGTCTGCCGAAACCAGGACAAATGTAAATCCACTCCATAAAAAAGCAGCCTGAGCCAGGAGTCTACGTACTCCATTTCTTCTCGAGAACCTGTTCCAACTGACACTAAAACATTTCAGTCCAGATCCTCCACAGTCTTAAACACAGACCAGCTAAACATTGTACAACTGGGATATTTCAGAGATAAAAGATAGACATGAATAAACAGTGCATGGGTTTTCGAGTTACGGAGATCTCAGTTGCTTGTTGCACAGGCTTGACTGTTCTCTGCAGCTCCTTTCATCTGGGTATCTGTCCTCTGTCCTGCTTCTGAATTTTATGCTACCTCCACTCAGAAGGCGTGTTGTAACTTTGTTTCCCAAGAGTGATAGCTATCATCGGGAATTTCTGTTCTAGTAATTTATGCAGAGTCAGCTTTTGGGGTTGGGGAATTAACTTCAAAAGGAAATGACAAAGAAATGTCCCCACCGTCAGACCCTACAATCGCGGAGACGTGGCTATTCTACACTACCTGAGGTCACAACTGTATCCCTGCAGGTATTTGCACAACAAAGGTTTACGTTCACCCTCTCATTCCTCTTGAACCCTTTAGAGAAGGCTCAAGTCTTATCAGGGTTATTCACTATGTGCTGTCACTGATACAGTCAAGAGGCTAGGAATTATCCGATATGCTGTAGTTAGACATCTACTGACACGGTAAAGGATTCATTTCATTTAATTTTGGTTATCTGAAAGTTAGGTGTCTGGTTTAAGTCAATCATCCAGACTCCAGCTGTAATCCCATGGAGAACAGCACACTCAGGAGCAATTCATCCCAGCTTAAAGAAGGTGCGTGAGCTGGGTGAAACGAATCACACGTTGCTGATACTCAAGTATTCATGCCTATAGAGGGAGCCTGTACGGTGAGCCTAGACTAAAAACCGAACTCTGGGACAACTGATCTTCTCTCTGCCTCAGTTTACCCATCTGTAAAATGGGCATAGTAACAATGCAAGATACCGAGCAAATAATATATAAACATTACTTGCCAGATAAACGCTCTTAAAACAGCCAACACCGATCTTGTGTCGCTAATTGAAAAACATGTGAACGTGGTACACAGGATTCTTCAAACAGCTAATCAGATATTCATGAAGTGTAAAAGTAGGAAATCTCAATGCGATACACTTTTCCTTCATTACATAAATAGACACATGAGTGTTTTGGGGTGCACCGTTACCAGCCTGTCAGTTACTGCTGGTCAGAGCTGGATGCCAAAGGTCCCATTAGCGTAGCACTAAGCTGAACGCTAGACCCTGGAATCGGATCTCTTGACCTTACCATCAGAAACTGTAATGTAATATTTTGTTCAGAGGTACCTGTTTGTGGGAAGGCAGCTTCTTACCTCTTTCTATTACGTGAATCAATACTTGCTTCATAACTTAAACAGCAGAGTCTGAAATCAAACTGAACTTTGCTGTTCCCATTGAATAGGTGCTTGGTTGAATGTTAAAGATTTCCAAATACCTTAGAAACTGTCACAATGCTAAGTGCAACGCTTACTTACCTCATTTTTTCCTCATTTTAGCTCAATAGCATGAGAATGCTCCAACCAAGTTTAGATAACACAGCAGTTATAAACATCTATTTAAAGATTTCTTTCTACCGCTCAGTAATTGCAATTTGGAGGTGGTGGTGGGAGAAGAGAAGTATTACTCTTCCCAAATGATGACTAGAGTTGGTGGCTTGTTCACACACAAATTGGAACTGCAGCAGAGCCAGAAACCACATGCAGTTCTGTGCCTTAAATGAAGCAGCTTTTGCCTAGGAAATGCAATGCCATCAAAATAAAGCTTCATAAAACTAGGCAACTTCACCAAAATTTCATTTCAGGTGTGATCTCAACTACACTGCACCTGCTGCTACTGCTCTGTCAACGGAAACCCTTGCTCAGATCAGATGTGCCAGCTGAAGGAATTCTCCAGCCTGCATATTATATCAGCCTCCCCAGGCAAAGCTAATCAAGACAAAAGTCCCCTCTTTCAGCACAGCTACCATCAATTCACAGGGTCTTCCCAGCTTTGTCATGTCAAAGAGAGGATGAGAGAGGACATGGCTTTGCTGGTCTCCGCAAAAGGAAGGAAATTATATTTTCAGGAGGAAACATTTCCCCTTTTTCTTGCAGGTGAAAATGGCATCCACTTGAACTACTCTATTCCCCTTTATATATATATAAAACCACTTTAATGCAAACAGCTTAAGAAACTAAAATCAAAGTAAGATGTTTCAAGTTTGGTGAACGCTTGACTGCCCCAAAATGCTTCATGTGAGTGTGCATAGATGTTCCTTCACAGATGTTTTTGCTTGCTAGAATGGAAATACTCTGCCAAAAATGTTCAGGGCACCTATCCACTTCCCTATCATAGCCAGCACACCCACAAGGTACCCTCATGTCTTTGTAGACTCAAGACCTAGGAAAGGAATTAAATGCTCACTGACTCTCCCCTCCAAATCCCCAGCAAAGGGAGAGAGGGAGAGATAAGTGGCCCCTATTTGCTAGAAGGAGTATTATCCCCATAGCAAGGATTGATAAATGCCCCTCAAAGAAACTAATGATTTTGGAAAATGGAGGTCAGCGTGTAGGTGGAGAACCCACAGCGCTCTGTGTACAATGAAGTAAGGCGACTGCAATGTATGCAACTTACATGACGTTTTCTAAGCACCTCCTGATGGGGAACACACGCAGGTCCCTTACCCCGTGTTTTACTCGGTTATTAGTTTACATTCACTCCAGCACGGAAGGAGAATGGTACAGAGAAGACACACGTTTGAGCCGTGCTCTTTCCCCAGGACTCTTCTCTCTGTTTTGATCTCTCCATAACATTTCATAACGTTAGCGTTCAGGCTGTCGGCCTTTTGTGGCCGACATCGAACCTTCTGCTGTCTTTGGACAACAAACTTACCATGGCAGTACCTAAAACAACAGCGCTAACACGGGAGTACCTGCTTGCTAGGGAAGACCCAACACCAATGCCAAATAAAAGCGAAGCTTACTGGTCACAGTGAACTGGGTAGACGTCCTGCTTTCATCAGCCAGGAAGGCAATCTCACCAGCATCTTCCATCTTACACTCTCGGATGATCATGGTATGTTGCTTGCCGGAGCACGTGATGGAGATTCGATCACTGGGTTTCACTTCTTGTTTATTTTTCAGCCATTGGATGTTCTGGCATTCATTGTCCAGCTCCACACAGAAGATGGCTGTATCGTTTATGAACACCGCAGTCTTTCGTGGAAGTTTTTTAATGATGTTCCCTTTAAATAAGAAATTAATTATTATCAGCAAACAGCAGACATTAAAGTCTCTGGCAACACTGGACCATCCAGACTACAAGAGGACTAGCCAACAGCTCTCACCTAATCAAAACATTGTAGACACTATGCAGACATCCCTAAACGAATTCCTAGGCTCTGAGTTATACAGAACAGATAATCCCAAGGACACATTTTGGCCTTCAAAGAGAGAAAAGCAATCTTGTTTGACTACAGTTGCTCATGTTTCTAGCCTAACATGCAGACTCTGCTGTTGGGTAAACACAAGGTACGCAGCCTTGCCAAGAACAGATTTGACAGTGACATGGCTTTCATTGCCCGCATGTGCTGGGAATTCAAATTAAAACTTTGCTAAAGTAGGTCAGTCTTAAACCAGACAGGTCTCTCGTCTGTCTTTGGGATTTTGCCTCCACCAAAGTTACCAGTAAGTTACATAAGCAAGACAGCAAACACGCCAGTCACCTGAATTAATAGAAAATACACTGAAAACCTCAGATTTCTTCTTCGAGTCAACCCACAAATTCACATGGAATGAACTTCACTTATTTGTGTCCTTTCCAAGTGACTGTGATGATTATCACTTATTAGAATAAGCTCAAAGTTACAAGATGTGACTATTCACAGGAAAGGTTGGACAAAGCACCGGGGAACCACCCCTACTGACAGATGGTGACTGGCTCCAGCCCTGGAACAGGCCCTGTGAGGCAAAAGAGGCCTCACCCAGGCAAAGCACCGGGAGCTATTTGATAAGAAGCAAGGCTGAACTCCTTCACGAAGTAACAGATCAGGCACATGTTCCATCAGTAGGATTCAAGACCCTGATTCTCTGCTCACCTCTCCAAAGCTCGGGCACGTGTCTGCTCCCTGCTGCCCTCAGCAGTGTCCCTGTCCCTGCAGCCCTTTGCATCCTACCAAGCTCTCTCATTTGCCCAACCTCACCCTGCTCGCTCGAATCCTCTGCCCCCGGGGCAGGCACAGGGCTCCCCCAGGAAGGCTCTGCCTCCTTTCCCTCCCGAGAGCTCCACCTGGCCCAGTCCCTCTCTTTTTTAATGGAACATTGCCGTAGTACAGACAAGTAAAACAAATACCAGCTGTCCTACCAGGGCCAAACACGCTTGCAGTGTTTGGCTGGTCTAGCCCTAACAGAAGGTGTAACAAAAAGACGTCTGTCTGAACCCTCCTGTGTCTCCGGACTAAATTTCCCCTTCTACCTCCACCCACGTGCATTCTCATCTCTTTGCTAATGATACAAAAAGGAATTTGCGCAACGATGCATGGCACCTGGCTGTCTTGCACCGATTTATGCAGCGGAGAACAACTTCTGGTTTCACTGGGAGTAAAGTCAGGCTTCAAATGAGACAGGACAAGTGCAATCCTCTCACTATTACAGATCTTCAATTCATGCTACAGGACATGTCAATGATACCAGCATAAGCATCATCAAAATAAAAATTACAGGTCCTGGAGTTGCATGGGTAGCTTCTTATTCATACAGCAAGTCACGGAGTTCAGAGCCAATGGCCCCTTCCGCAGACATGCCTGTGTCTGATGTGCATGTCTACTGGCTGTGAGACACCTCTACCATCCCAGGCTCTACACCTACTTGCACTTCAGTCCTAAACTGGCAGACTCCGGAGACTTGGACATGGTTCTCTATCCACATTTTTCCACTTTCTCATCAGCTTTCCAAACTCCAGACAACAGGTCCAGATGTCAGAGATCTGGAGCGTGGATCTGGTTTCCAATCTGAAACCATACTGGTGCTGACCGCAGCCTGCACCACGCATCGGACCATAAACCACAGCTGCTAAGCCAGCTTCCCAGTGTGCTCAGCACCACTCTTGGACAAGATTCACCGTCGTGCACCCCAGACACCAGACAGATGCATGTGAGACAGTGCCAGAGGACACATCCGATGCTTGAGATCACGTTAAGGAAAGTCTACAGTGTGAGGCTACAGCTCAAGGACTTTGCCTTCTACGAAAACCCCTTTAAGCACAGGTCCCCACCAGGTGACGTATCTTATGCAGCAGCACAATCTGTCCCTGCTCTCTGACCCTGTGTCCCAGATACACCCTGGCAGGAGACCCAGGGACCCACTGACCGACCACACGTGGCTCTCCTCTCACACCGTAAGGGACTCTGCTGTTCTTCACTGCACACATGCATGTGGTAAACGCCATTCGCAAGGTCGAGTCTGGAGTCTCATGCGTGAATCTCATGCTTGGTCGGCGAGACTTGGCTGACCTGAAATAGCAAAAGCCTTTCTTACCTTGGACAGACAACTCCGCGATGGTCCTGCTCCCTTCTTTCATCTCACAGATATAGACAGCATCATCATCTGTGGTGACGTTCTGGACAGTGAGCCGGCGATACGTGCCCTCTTCTTCGATGTTGTACTTCTTGCTCTGCCGGAGCTTGGTTTCCTCCTTGTACCAAGCTGTCTCTGTACTAGGAACAGGCACTTCACATTGGAAGGTGGCAGATTCCTTCTCCCTCACTTCAAGATCCTTCAGTTTTTCCTTGAAGGGTATTGAGGGTTCTTAAGAGGATAAAAACAGAAAGGAGAAACAAGAGTTTATGATGGTCTGTGGTAAAAGGTGTGCAAATAAATAAGTGAATAGAAAAAAATTAAACAATAACACTTCTTATTAATGATATTGATTTGTCCTGAGCTGCCATCCAAACCCATAATCAAGCCCTACTACAGTAGGTGTTCTGCTCTCACGTAAAGAAAAAATCTTAGATCCCAGCAGAAGTATTTTAAGGACTTATCTAAAAATGAAGCAGTATCAGTCTGAACTGCAGTACCTGCCGCACACCACCACACAGAGGAGTTTGCTCTAATCCAAAGAAATGTGAACAAGTTGGTGAAGCACCAGGTTAATAAATTCTGTTCTTGTGGCCTGCTTGTCCTCTAGCACAAACATCTCTGCGTTGCACCTTGTCACTTAGCGATGCCAACAAGACGAAGGGCAGGGGCCACCCAGCCTGACTCTATACATAGCAACAGCCACTTCCCATCAGAGTAAAAGCCCTTAAAAGCAAAGATGCTACAGGTGGGTAAATAGCAAACGAGCTGGTCATAGGGAGAGGGCACAGGGCAGCAATTCTAGGTGAGTGTGAGCAGCTGAGCTGGTCAGCTAGTGCCAGAACCAATGTTTTAGGCATCTTGCAGCAGAATTATGCTCAGCAGAGTGATCTGAAAGGGCACAGAAGGACGAGAGGTGGCTGTGCACAGAAGGACAGATGTGGGGAAAACACAGAAGTAACTGATGGAGGAGTCTTCTGTTCTCCCCACCAGCACCAAGGGCTCTGTATCAGCTTTTGTCAATGATAATAAAAGAACTAGAGAAAGAGCCCAAGTCTCCCGACTGCCTCTGCTTTCCTCCAGCGGTGGGGCTGCAGTGCTCTGGCTTAGGGAGAAACCAGAGTGTAGATCAAACACACAAAACAGCTGCATGGCAGTGAGGGAAGACATTTTACGAACTGAACAATGTTTAATTCCAGTGACAGCTGCGCTGTGAAATCATCCCGATACCCCAGCGCTAAACTGGAGAAAGGGGAGTTGGACTGAAGAGGACAGCCGGCGGTCGCAGCCACGGGACTGGTGCCACAGTCATGTCACAGACTTGGATTAGCCAGTGCTGATGCATCGCCACTCATGCTTCCCGAGAGATCATGTCTTGACATGTACCTTCATCTTCTAACAACTACTGCACCAGCTCCCAGCCTTTTTTTGTGACTCCATTCTCCCTCTTCCTGACCACACACACACTCCCAGGCTGGTAATTACGTGTGGTCACTAGTGTCAGTAATGTCAAGTGTTAGTCTAACAGACAAACAGGAGTAGACTTGTCTTAGATTTATAAGCCCATGCCCACGGTGGCACGTCCCACTCAGAGTGTCCATGGTCTAGAGGCTGGAGAAACACAAATCGAGGTCCTCAAGCATCCCACATCCAAACTTTGATGTCCAGGAGCCTCCATTTTGTAAAATTCAGATCTGGTAGCTCCGCATATAACTGAGTCCATTACCTGCCCCATCCAGCCCCACCATTAGGACAGGAGCTGCTGCAGGAGCAGTGCTGTCTTTGATCTGGTTTGCTCTTTTTTGAACTGAGGCCCTAGAAACTCATGCATTCAGTTTTGCAGGTCTTTTGTTCAACCCCTGGCACAGCCACGATTGCAGTTGTCACCTAAACACCTCCAATCGTTTCTAGCTGAGCACAGCCTGGATAGAGATACCAGACTCTAAGGGCTTGACAGGACACCTGGAGGGAGCAATGCTATCTACCACCCTGGTTGTAAAACCTGACTGGGAACCCATACAATATCTTTAGGAACAGGAAGGTGACTCTAGCTCACCATGTCAACTTGGTTATTTTCTTAAAAAATGTTTTGCCTTAATGCACCTCAATTCAAGGCAAGTCAAAGTCTCACCTTAAAAAGCCTTCAGCTACGGTTACACAGACCTGTTCTGCCCGCACTTGACACGTCAGTTATCCTTTTTGTTTTAACCAACAGGGGCAACTCAAACTCCTGCCCTGCAATCCCATATATCACCTCTGGAAGCATCCCATGAAGCCAGGGGGAATGAAGCAGTTGTAATTCTCGTGCCATGGGAACAAGCAAGAGGATGAGATCAAGAAAGCGTGGATCAGAAGGATGCCAGCCTCCAGGAGCTGGATGCAGCGTTGCTGTGTGAGAGAGGAGGGAGTCTGGAGCTGACACTGAGAACACAGGGACATGCCCAAGGGCCAAAAAGAAATACGAGATGCACCTGAGAAGCACACAAGTGTATGCCCATACTTGGAGCAACTGGCCATGTCGTTAACCCCTCTCCCTTTACAGTCACTGAGCAGTATCTAAGGTCACAAAAAAAACACTCCTCTAGGAAAAAGCTGTTAAATGTACAAACACAGACTAGACTAGACTAGAATATTTCAGTTGGAAGGGAGCTACAATGATCATCTAGTCCAACTGCCTGACCACTTCAGGGCTCACCCAAAGTTAAAGCACGTTATTAAGGGCATTGTCCAAATGCCTCTTTAACACTGACAGGCTTGAGGCATCGACCACCTCTCTAGGAAGCCTGTTCCAGAAGAGTTGGTTGATTCTTTCATATGTGTTGCAGTCACAGCACTGCTTTTCCAGCCAGGGAAAGTAGGTGCAAGGTTATCTTTGGCAACTTGGGGTCACAGATATCCTCTGAAAACAACTTTGCTTTCGTCCTACTGACATACACACACGTCTTATCTCACTCTGAACAGGGCTTCAAAGAGACAACAGCCAATAAACTGAATCAAAGCCCAGGATTCACCCAGCCCACTGCTTTTTCTGCTTTGGAGATATGAGAGAGGCTCCAAAACCCACCAGCCTCCTCTTCATGCTCTTTACATCATCTAGCAAGTACCTGGTCAGGCAGAGGCGGTTAACTTTGGTCAGGGGACTACAGAAGGACCACAGGGCTGTTGAGAGTAGGCATCCCAAACAATTCAACTGGCCCATAACCAGGCCCCTGCCCAGGTCAGAGAGATGCTCAGAGAGGTGGCCAGGGGGGAACAGTGTCTCCAGCTGATCAACAGGCAACCCAGATCTCAAGGAAAGGTCTGCGACAGGCAGGCGGCTCATCTGCCTTGTTAATAGACTAATTAACACAGTCCGACTCCATAACCATATAACATTTACAGAAGAAGACTTGTTCTAAGGATGGAAACACTAGACTTTACACCAGCCTTTCAGTGTATTTTAACTAGCTAAATGTGAAAACAAATAAATACACTTACTCTCCCACTAGCCAGCATGGTGAGTTGAGCAGAGATCTCTGTTACTCTCTTTCACCCCACGTTGGTCTGACAGACCCCAGTCTGTCAGATTTTGACATTTACATTGCAAATTCTCTAACGTAGGGATCCTCTCTTACTGATTTGTACAGCACCGAGCACAATTCAGAAATATTCTGTGCTGTAACTACTATAGGCACATCAGGAAGAGCTGCTGCAGATAACAACGTTATATTCGATCTGATAAACTCCATAAATATTGACTGCTCATTTCTAAACGACTATTTGTCATGCATTACCCTTTCACAAGCTAATTCTCAATGTAAGCTCGTGTTAAGTATGACTCTAATATGGAAGATAAAGCCATTTGTTTATCAACCATTTTCCATATTATCCAAAATGTTCATAATATCTGAAAATGTCCTTGTAAGATAAGCAAAAAGTGTGTTCGGGTGAGGTTACGTGTGACATAATTCTCCCAGGGACCCTCTGCTTCAGATAAGAAGTGCCACTGATTCCCATCTCTAGTTCCTGTAAATAGCAGAGCTGGTTAGAAATTATTTAACATTAAGCAAGAAAGGTGATTTCTGATCTCTCAGTTCCACAGCAAAATGCTGATTTTGCTCAAAACAATTATTCAAACCTCCTTTGAGAAAATCTAGGTGGTTTCTTTCGGAATGACTGGGGTGGAAACATTGAGGAGTGTTGAAGAAAACACAATCTTTTTTTTCACTTCAGTTTGGCATTCGCCTGTGACCAGGTGATCTGCCGCGGTGCTTTTGGAAGCCATGGTTGGATGGTTTCCTGACCACATCCTTTCCTAAGGGTGCTCTCCCCGCCGGGCTGTGTCTCCCAAAATACAAAGCAGTTTCAGCTCTGCTCAAGTCACCAGAGCCCCACGTACATGTGAGTCCCGGGCACCACGGAAGAGACAGTTTCAACGCAGCTGAGACAGGCTGCAGTCTGGGAGCAGAAGCAAGAGGCACCTGAACTGTACATCTTGCAAGCTGGAAGAGTAGTTCAAGTGGATGCCATTTCATATAGAATCCAACGAAAAGTACAAAACAGTGTTGTTCTCATCACTCCAAATCAACCATTATCCAGAAACATTTACTTCCATGAGAGCTCAGTGGTGTGAATTTGAAGAGCAATTCTGCTTTGTCCTTGTAATATCTGGACTCCTGGGCCATGGCTCATTTTCAGTGCCCTGAGAGGTCATTTAAATTCATCTCTAGTATCAGTATGATTTTTTTTTTTTGACTGTACAGTTTTTTCTATTAATCTGTTTTTAGCCAAAGCAGAAATACTCATTAAGGCATATAATGAAGGCAATAACATTTCTAAAGAAGGAGAAATAAGAGATAAAATAAGAGAGATACAAAAGCCTGTGAGATAGAAACAGCAAAGCAAAACCCCAAGAGAGCGTGGAACAAGAGCGGCCTATGGAGTTAGCAGGAAACTTCAAGACCTTAGACCAGCTATGAATTTGGCTGCTTGTCTTGAGAACATATTTCTCCAGACTGTCACAGGCTTTTTTGTTTGGTCCATACCAACCAAACAAGCAATGACATGATGTTATTTTTTAAAAGCAGGTCCTGCTAACCCATATTTTGCTAAGAATAGGTGCAGCCTGCAAAGAAGCCAATGTTTCCTTAACCTTCTCAAAGCATATCTGTCTGCTTGACCTGGTCTTCTCACCTGCATTTCCTCTTGCCTATTTCTGGCCTTCTCATGGGCTCTCCATTTATTATTCCAGAGGCAAATTTTCCCTCTGCCTAACAAAAATGATCCAGTGAGAGTAAGAATATGAAGAATCCTTCCAAAGGGAGCTATCTAAAGGTGCATAGACAAGCTTCGACCATCTTGTGCCTTTGGTCCTCTTCCTAGTTACTGTGCTTTCCAAGTTTCCTTTCTATCTCCACATTCCTCAAGTTGCAATTCTCTTTCAGATCTCAGATGTGACTACCATGAGAGCGGTCATTCAAAATCATTTCAGGTCAGAGGGGAATAAAGTGGCCTCAGCACCAGTCTGTTTTTCCAGTCTCTATCCTATTTGGTTTGCAACCTTTAACCTTTTCATACAGTATCTGATTTCTGCATTCAGGGACTCAGATGAACATTGCTTGGCCCAGGCCCAAGGATGGAGACCTGTATGCTGTTCTCGCTAACTTTACACATGGCCTCGGGACATCTCCAAAGCCTTCAGGAAATTCAAGTCATTTATTTGGCTTGAATCTCTGCTCTTTGGTTTGTCAAGGAGGTTTACTCTTGGGGAGCATTTCTCTAGACACATTTCTGAATCAGAGTAATCAACTCTTGGTTTTCCTTAACTGTGAGAGTGACTCTCTGCCCTGTAGCCTCTCCTTTGAGATTTACGTCTGCTTCACTACATCTCATTTAGGAACAGCTCAAAAATCTCTTTTTTTTCAGCTCAATGATCTTTAAGGCATGGGCTCAGCAAAGTGCTTACAAATATGTTGGGTCCCTAGGTCTAGGATCTAGATTGACAGAATATAGGAGCCTTTCTAGAGGAGGTTTGACCTGTGCCCAGTCCTATGCCCTGAGAGAGACTGCTAAGAGCCACCTTACAGAGAGGATGCTGGGCTAGGCAGTCTTTTTTTATTATTACCTTTAAAAGGTAATAATAAAAGACCCATAAATATTCTCACTCAGATTCCTGTGTGGAAATTCTGCAAACCAAAATGCCAGAGCATATTTAGACCCATGAAGCTTGTCTTTCCTGGTACGTGTGTCTATGGACACATGCTGTGGATGCAGCGTCACAGGCTCTATAAATATGCTGTTACCTGCAGAAAGACCAATGCAGCAGCATGGTGCTTACCAAGGGTGGCTGCTTGGAGAATTCGGCCTCTTCTGCACGACTGAGCAAAGAGAAGGTTGGGTGGCAAGATGACCTACCTCCCTAAACCCGGTGGCAGATGAGCTAATGGCATCACTAATGGCATAAACAACAGAATTAAAAGCTCCCTTCACTGCTGCATCATTCTGAGCTGCCTTTGGAGGGCTGAGAAGGACTTCTGGTGACACAAAGGAGAGTCGTTATTCAGGGCCTAATTATAACCAACACAGGCAGATTTTCCATGGCAGCCTTGGCCTGGTCAGAAAGCCCAACATGGTATAGCGTAACAAAGAAACAGACCATAAACATTTCCACTTAAGCCCTCTGACTCACAGGTGTCTCTTGGCAACGGACATTGATCAATAACCTTTTCCCATGGTGCTTGCTCCCAGACCTGCTGCTTCGCATGCTTTCCACATCTCCTTTGGACGAGGTTGCACCCATTGAGAATAATCAAATAAGCGTGGGCAGAGGGGAGGGTGTTTGTCTTTGCAAGACAGGCGTTGAGCAAGCCACGGAGCTTGAGCCATCCTCAGAGTGAACCCAAGGGCCAGGCTCGGTCTTCAGCTCTGAGTCCTGACTCATGAGGTAATCACAGCTTTATGGAAGAGGACAAATGCCCTTCCCGATGCCACTCAGCACCTCCAAGGGATGGCAATGAGTGGGACAAGTGCCAGCGAGTTCCACGGATCAGGTGTCACTGATGGACAAGGGGACTGAGTCACTGACGGGAAAGACAGCGAGTGTGAAAGGGGAGGTCCAGAAAAGGGAAACCAGAAAACCAAATAAACGCTGAGAGTCATAAAGACGGGTATGAAACACAGACCATTCCTACTCATTTGGATTTCTAATTTATTTTGCTGCCAGTCAAAAACATCTATTTTGCCACTCAAGTGGCAAAGCCTTTTACCTCTGAGAGTTAATTTACAGGTGCTGCCTGGGTTGCAAAGTGCCTGCTGTAACCTTGCCAAACGGGAGAGCAGCTTGAAAATTTAGAGCTTCCTTTGCGAAAATATGTGTGTCACATTTTTGTCGCCATTCTGAAGAACTTGGTCTGACCTCCACCAGCGTTGAGGGACCCTCTGAAGGCAAGTTCTTCACCACTGACCACAGCAAACAGAGGCATCCTGGACCTAGGAGAGTTCTGGGAGCACACAAGGACTACACAAGCTGGGAAAAGGCTGAGGAGGCCTGGCAAGAGCAAGGCTGCTGGTGGATCACTCTGTACAGGAAAACTGTGAGTTAGACTGTAATTAGAGTTGGAGTAGGTCCCCCAAGGGGTCCAAGGCAGCCTGACACACTCAGCTTGCAGGGAGGAGTTTCCTCTCCTTCTGCTTAAATGGCACGTGTGTGCCAGTTTGACTAAACCCTGTGGTGAGTATAAAAGAGGGCAAGATGGGGCTTTAGCAGTCCCTGATAGAGAGGATGATGATGGATCTCTTAGATTACTATAAAACCAGGATGGATGGGTGCTTTAGATATCTGGTTCATCCCAGCTGCCCCACAACCAGCCAGTTCTACATCATCCATCCCTGACTGATCCCTTCCTAAACCCCCCAGTGAGGAGACTCTCTCCCCAGGTCATCTATTCCAGTGCTTATCCCCCTTTACAGCTGGAGGGCTTTTTTCATGTCTAACCCACACTACTTTGCAGCAGTTTGGTGGCAGAAGTTTTGTTCATGCTCCCACCCCAATTCGGAAGTGCATTGCCTGTCTCCTTGCAGGCATGCCCACCCCGGTGAGAGACATAGGCACCCACCTTTGACGGTGACGAGCACGGAGCTGTACGTCTGGCCTGCCAGGTTGGAGGCCGTGCAGGTGTACAGCCCGTTGTCTATCTGCTTGCAGAAGAGGATCTTCAGCACAAAGTTCTCCTGATCATCCTCATAGATGACATGCCGCCGCCCTTCCAAAATGACCTCATTGTCCTTCTTCCACACAATCTCTGGCTTGGGCTCACCCGTCACGTAGCAACTCAGCTTGGCGTGCTTCCCCTCCGTCACGCTGCACGTGCGTGTCAATGCCCCGAAAGTCGCGTTGCGGGCCCCTTTGGTGGTAAGTCCAGCCGCTCTCTCATAATCCCGGGAGAGGCTGTAGCTGATGCCGGACAACCCTTCTGCCATGGAGTAAGACTGGGCAGACGTTGAATCAAGAGCCCCATGGGAGATGTCCATCTTCCTGATCTCCTCCCGCCTCTTTTGCAAGTGAGACAACAAGGATGCCGTCTTGCCGCAGCTGGTATCGAAATGGCTGCTGCTGCCCGGGTTGGAAAAGCCCTGCGTTTCCACCACCAGCGCGGCTGAAGCGCTGGCAGAGCCGATGGGATTCTCTGCCCGGCAGGTGTAGGTGCCGCTGTCCCCGAGCCGGGCACACTGGATGGTGAGAGCGTTTGACTCCCCGGCAGACTCTATCTGGAAGCGTCCAGCATCAGTCCGGTTCCGCAGGTGTCTCCCATCCTTCTCCCAGTTCACCGAGAGGGGAGGGCTGCCCTGGACTTTGCATTTGAACATGGCGTCTTCTCCCAATGTTACTTTGATGGAGGAGGGTTTCTGGATGAAGTATGGGGCTGACTCCGTTACTGTGGTCTCCTCTCCAACTTTGATGCTGACAGCTGCAAAAGCTTCGCCGATGGTGTTCTTGGCCCGGCAGATATATTGGCCACTGTCCTCCAGGCTCAGATCGTAGATTGTTAGCCGATAGAGATCCCCATCTTCTGTGGTTTTAAACCTTCCCCCAGACTGGACTGGAAGTTTATCCTTTTCCCAGCTCACAACTGGGATGGGGTTTCCAATGATCTGGCAGCTCAAGGTGGCATCCTTCCCCACAGACACCATGAACGCCTTAGGCCGGGTCAAGAACCGCGGGACTCCGCTGAACGAGCTGTAATCCATCTTGGTTTCCTAAAGAGTGAGAAATAAAAATGTCAAGGAAGAGCCAATTAGGTGGTGCAGGCAAAGAATTGCTGCACTTCCATGGTATCAGGCTGTTTGTCATCTAAAACAGTCACGTTTTCATTGTCCTTCTCATTATGGATGAGAAGGCCTTGGAATATTTTAAGTCTTGCAGACTTCTTAGATTTAAGTTCAATAAACTGCTGATGGAGAAGGTAGCTCACTTCCCCACAGGAGTCACTGGGTAAAATACAAGTCTTCGGGCAGTTCACACAGAAAGAACATGATGGTGCCTTTCAGCTTTGGCCCTAGGAAAGTGACCTGCACTAATGCTATATAACATATAGCATTATGTTATATATATATAGCCAGCACCTGGGGGTGTTGGTCGACAGCCGGCTGAACATGAGCCGGCAGTGTGCCCAGGCGGCCAAGAAGGCCAATGGCATCCTGGCCTGTATCAGAAATAGTGTGGCCAGCAGGAGTAGGGAAGTGATCGTGCCCCTGTACTCGGCACTGGTGAGGCCGCACCTCGAATACTGTGTTCAGTTTTGGGCCCCTCACTACAAGAAGGACGTTGAGGTGCTGGAGCGTGTCCAGAGAAGGGCAAC